TGGGTTTAGCCTAGCAAGCTGCCGTATTAGTACATTAATTATGTCGTTTGTCGCATATGTGATGAATGTCTTTGTCTTCTGCTGAGACATGCATCATCGATTTAATTAAACGAATCTAATGGGAAGATATTTTTAAAAAATTAACTAAATATAAGCCAAGACCATTGGTAGAAAAAAAGTGTGCATGCATAGCTTATCAGCAATTTACTTGTTATTAGAAATGGGCAATTGACAATCTTAGTTCGGGTGCAGAAATTCAAATCAAACTGTGCTTCTCGGACTCACATTGTCAGCATCTCTTTTAAAATGCACCCTGGGACTAAAGGAACACATGTAAGAACAACATGAATTAGACCATGGTAGTAATTAATTTAGTTTTGCCCAAATTACCTGTTTTTATGCTGACGTAGTCAAATTAAATGCAACGATTAGAGTACGCTGGAAAGGCACTATATGAAATATGGGTATCACATACATAAGGGTAGAATGCATCCGAGGGTACATCCTTAGGATTTGTCAAATGCTAAATCGTGTTACATATTTTGAATTTTTCGGCATATTCAATAAATAAAACATTCCTCGCTTAGATATACAGTAATTAAAATTTATTTACTACACAATTAGCTAAACATATCAGCCATAAATGCACATTAGGAGATCAAAATTAAGCCTCCTAGAACAAAACAAACGTCTTTTGTCGAATTTTACACAACAATGCAAATTTGACAGATCTGGAAATCAGAGAGCAATGTTTGGCATAGAATAAAATTAGCTTTACAGTGGATTTGAACTACTAATATACAATATTGTTTTTATTTGTCCAGTGAACACTATCTTAGCACATTGACGCTGAGGTTTGATTGCTTCTAGTTAACCTTGACCACACTCCGCGGAATTTGTGAGCAGTCCCAAAGTGTGACTGGGGTAGCTTAGATTGTCTAGTCATTTACCTGATTAAGGTAAGGACTACGAATTGTGTGTCAATTTAGTCATATGCTGATGTTTATTATACATGGAAAAATTCTTGACCAATCTACTTTTTCAAGTATGTTGCTTAATTGAGTTTTCGGCGTTCAAAATGTTTAAGTATACTTGACAAAATCTGGTCATCATCCGAAACGTGAACATGTTTTACAAATGCATTAATTGCATCTTAGAAATTTTTTTTTGTTTTTTTTCCATAAATTGTTTGGCTATGTGCTAACATTTGAATCCTTGATAATATTTTCGCCTCTAATAATTTCTAGTCGCATTCTGATTGGAACGCATTACTTAAAAAGGGGCCCATCGACATTCAAATGACCTATCCTTTTTGTAGCATAGGCTGGAGCACAAGCTAATGTAGTGTTTGAAATATCCAGAAAACCCGTGACTGCCTTCCTGTACTTATCCAAGAAACTTATTTTTCCATCCACTGTTTCTTTCGTAGAATGTGTCATTCAACAGGTCAGCGCTCATTTCTCAAGGATGTTCAGCAACTTTATCGCACGATTGATTACTCGACTGACGGTCAAGCCTCCATAGTGTCCGTGAATGAATTGTCAGTGATTGTGTCGTTGAATCCCAAATTTGGTCGCAATGCACACGCTGCGTTTATTGCCAATGTGAGTATTTTTGAAGGATATTATTACAAAGTATGTGGTGTACAAATGACAACTGTGTTCTTTGATCATATTTGTAAGCAGCACGTGTTCTAATGCCGTGCTTACTGCCTCGTAAATTACGAGTAAATGGAATTTAGGCAGTCAGTAACATTGCTCCGACAGTCATAGCACGTTTATTTATTATGGCAACACGAGTAATAGTAACGGTTTTTTGAAGTATACATAAGTTTGAGCTGCCGGTAATAATGTATAAATTTTTCCTTTTTACTAGTTTCGTGTCATAACTGCAGTCTGCCTGCGAAATATCTTCAACAGATTACAGAGGTTTTTCTCTTCTGTGCATATTTGATGTGGCGAGACTTAGTTGTGTGGCTGCACAGCCTAAGTGATAATCTGAACAGTTTTTACACAAGTCGCCAATGAATGAATTTCTTATGAAAACAACCTCAGGAATTGTTGAAACCCGTAAAACATTTGCATATTGCATAAACGACAAAAATAACATAAATGCCTATTTGTTTATTTGGATTTTTTGATGCCTTGTAGATTCGGTGCCCTTTGGCCTATCCCAAAGAAGGCCCTGAAGTCCACTTCATGACGCCAATCTTTCATCCCAATATCCACATTAGTGATGGTAGCGTTTGCTTAAGTCTTCTCACTGAATGGCATAGGTACGAATTACTTCAAGTGATCATGAAAAATTGAGTCTGGCGGCCCATCCCTTTCGGAACTTTTGTGTTTGAATTAGGGAGAGAGCTCATATTTTAAAGTCGTGCGTAGAAATAACAGCTGTGAGTTTGTTGATAAGTGGACAGGACATCCAAGTGCTGCGTTACCCAGAAGTCAAATACCACTTGAGCACTTCGGTCTGCAAACGTCCATAAATGAGAGGCTATTACTTTTGAATGGAGCTACAGGACATTGTAATTGTGGTAGCAATGTGGTTGCTATTTTCCCCAAGGTTTTTCCACTCCTCTATTTTCACTTATTGCAAATTCGAATAATTTTGCGCGAGTTGACTTCTGGAGTGAGTTTTGCGATGTTGCTTGAAGCAGAGTATTAGCGATTCAGCGCATTTAAATTTTAGTTGTTACAGCCTGTTGGATGTGGTCAAAGCACTCCTCTACCTCATTGAACATCCAAATTTCGAGTCAGCAAATAACGCATTCGCATTGAATCAGAAACTGTTTGACAAAATGACAGTGCGGCTACTGGCTGGTCTGCATGTAAATAGGCTGCGGTTTCCGCCTAACAAAGCCTGGTGTGAGTGGGCAGAGGCCAATGGATGCTTGCCTGTTGATGACGAAGAGCTTGAAGACGATTCAACCGACGCCAGAGGCGCAGTGCATGTGGAGGCCCAACAGGAGCCGAACAACCGCATTGAGTCTCTTCCTAGCGTTGCCACCTACGCACATGATGCAAGTCAATAGTTGTTGTTCCACAGTAGTCTGACGTTAATTACTAGCGTTAAAGTGGGAAATAACTTGCTTCTTACTGACAGAGTGTTTGGTACCACTGATTGGCGCTTGTTTAATTCGAGTTCAGCAGGGGTTGAGTTTGTTAAATGTGCTTCAAATCTATGAATTCATTAGGATCGTTTTGTCTGCAGGTTGAGTCAGATGAGAAGACCCATCGTCGTTTCTCCGATGCTTCCTCTGACACTGTTCCTTCTTTCGCCAAAATTCGATTCTCTCTCGATTCTTTGAGTTACCAGTCATCGCGGCCCAACTACGCGCAGGATTACTATTGCAGCTACTTTAACACGCAGCGCATTCTCATTGGCCACCCAAGTGTGAACGACGAACCTTCACCTCCTTCGGTATTCTACTACAGCGAGCTCCTCGGTAATCCTAACTATCGAGGTGAACTGGGTGATCTTTACAGCACATTGTTCGCTGGCGACGTTTTGCCCGCCGTGCAGGTCCACCCCGAATCCAGACAAACCTCCTCTCTTTGTCCCTGGTGCCACTTTTACCACAATTCTTACCCCTCCTCCTGGTCCACGGATTCCGTCTTCAATCTGACTGATCTGTTCACATTCACGGAACCACGGAGGCCTTCGTTGACTGCGGACTTTTGTCCGTGGTCGATGCTGGATGGACGAGGTACTCTAGACCTCTTTGGTGGGTTGTTTTGTGAAAAAGGAATCTACCCTCGTGGAAGTGCTTTTTCTCTTGACGACGACGATGGTGAAAATCTGGCTGAGCTCTTTATTGAAAGCCTTGCAATGGTAGGCGACAGCATTGTCGATGCAGAACTAGAATATTCACCTCAAATTGTCGAATCAAGTGAATTGGCTTTTGATGCTGAATACGAATATACAGAAGAAGAGGAAGAAGTTGATAGTGATGGTGAAGAAGTAGAACGGCAGCCAGCGGTCGAAGCTGAGAAGCAAAATATGCCTGTCAATGGTGCTTCGTCATCGACTTCATCGACAACTTTCCACCGCACACCATACGAATTTCGACCTCCCCAAAATTCCTGGAGGTGTTCTGATGATTTTAATGAAGCAGCCATATCAATGAATCTTAAGTTGCTTCCACGGTGGCATTGGATGTTTCGTCAGACACGGTGGCCTCTTCGATTTGCGCCACAACAGAATATCGAGCTGTCCATGAATGGAATCAGAATTCCTCCATGGCGAGCGAGTGCCGGACGACTGCTGTCGGATGTCATTAGATTTTGTTCTGCACACCGTGAGGTGGAGAACCTTGTTCTTCTTGACCCCATGGTAAATTTCCACCCTATTTTTTGATCAAGAGGTAAAATAGGGCGTACTTTTGTTATGGTGAAAGAGTGTAATTTAACTTTGAACATCTAGCGTTCTACAAAGTCCACGTTTTCAGTTCCAGTCCTCGTTATTGACTCGCAAGTTTTGTTTTGGCAGGCCTTGTCACCGCTCTCGCCACTGCTCAATCTGATGCGACTCTCCGTGGAACCAAAGGCTCACCTGACTGGTGTTCTGTGGAT